AACAAAAACAGAAGATGCCAGACACCAGATTAAGAAATACTGTTCTAGTCCTTTTGCTTCATGCTAACTTGAACTAAAGAGAAGAGTATAGTGCTTGGCATACCCTGAACCCTCTTTCTGTGACATCTTACATGGGGTGTTTGACCACAGATGGGGGTGGTGTAGGGATGGGAATTCCTTGGTAGCTGACATTCTAGGCAGGATAGGCCATAAGCAGCCCCTCCTAAATCATTGTAGAGGATAGAAGGAAAAAATGGTCTGTCTTTCTGAATTAGATTATTTTTTAAAATTATATATTTCATCTGTATTGTATCCTTAATAAAGGGTCTTGATAAATTGCCATAGCTTAATTTTTTAAATTTTTTAACTTGTTTGACAATATTGTTCAACAAGCGAATTGATATTTTGAACCAATTGTACTGAAACTTCTTTCCTCTCAATAAACATGTTCTGTTGATTATTCCCCCAGATTAAAACATGTTGAATAATTTTTTAAAGTGGAATAGTGATTTTATTGGTATACAGAATGCCTGATGAAGATACTACTTGTACATCAGTAGCTACACTGTAATTCATAGTTTGGGAGAGTTGTTTGTGATCCCAGGAAGTTAAATGACTTGCTCAAGGTCACATAATCAATACTGTACATGTCAGTAGCAATATTTGAACCCACATCATCCTAATGCCAAGGCTGACTCTACCTCCATTCTGACCATACTGCCTCCCATTTTAGTTCAGAAAGAGTCCAGGGCATGGAATCAGGAGGCCTGAGTTGTGGTTCCCATTCCACAGTGCCATCTGTGTGACTAGAATTGTCACACTGGAACAGGAAAGTCATTTCTCTGTGTCTGTTTTCCCATCCATCAAATGGGGGAAATATTTTTTTCCTATCTTAAAGACAAGTAAGGTGATATGTAACTAGTATTTATGTAGGGCATTAAGGGTACTGAAGCACATTATATATATTATCTCATTTGATCCTCAAAACAACTCCGAAAGGTAGGTGTTATTATTATCCCTATTTTACAGGTGAGGAAACTGAGGATTAGAGAGGTCAAATGACTTCCCCATGGTCACACAGCTAGTGTCTGAGGCAGGATTTGAACTCACATCTTGAATCCAAGTCTAGAGCTCTATCTACTTTACCCTCGGCTGTGTGTTTATTTGTAGATAGATGCAGGAGTCTGCTGGTACGTGTTTAACAATTGGGCTCCTTTAAAAAACATATGTTGTATACTACTTTCAAACTTAATCTGCATTATTAACACTTTCTTAAGTCTAGACAACCAACAAAACAATAAATTGAGCCATGATTTGTAGTGATTGATGATTTCGGGAGTGTAAATGCTTACAATGAAAATTTAACAATTGCCTTTCTCAAGCCAGTTAAATCTGGCACCAGCACAGCTCTGGATATATGTATGTGTATATATATCTATATCTATATATCTAGATATAGATATATATACACATACATATGTGATGATGCTTTAAGTTCTTTGGAAGACAGGCAACCCACTAATGTAATAATAGTAGTAATAATAAATCACATTTACATACTATGACAGCACTATAATAACAATTATTTTTTATAATAGCCCTATGAAGTAGATTATTATTTTCCTGTTTTATAAATGAAGGAATTGAGGCTCAGAGAAATAAAATGCAAGGTATTACATTGTTTTTATAATATTACTAATATTTATTCATTTTAATTAAATATGTATTTATAATTAGTAATTAACTAAATTAAGATGATTAATTTAATTAATATTTATCTTTTTTTGAGGGAAATATAGCCTAAATGTGTTTTCAAATTATGAAGATGAAACCTATCACTCTTCTGCAATAGGACATACAGGGATAGGCACTACAGAAGCAAACTGAACGCCAAGGCTACCCAATACCATTCCTTTTCACAGAATACTTAGAAAAAGCAGGGCAGTTATCTGCCTTCTATTCATTAGAGGACCTATAAATGAGAGCTCTCATTGGACTCCTAAATAAAAGAAAACCACTGAGTAAAAACACGATCCTTGTCTCAGAGGAGGGAGGACTTCTTGAGCAATGGCAGCCGAACTCACCATTCATTGACCAACTGAGCTGTGCCGAATGCTAGAAACTGCATCAAACCAGTACAAACCCTGGGTGTTAGCTGAGAGCACACCCATCTCAATTATCTGCCCTCTTCTGTGTACTTAATTGTTCAACGTTTCTCAGAATCCCATCGGTTAAAGGGGATGTGTTAAAGCAAGGGGACTTGGTTTCCTTGCAGTCCAGCACCTCAAATCCACGTACAGGCGTAGCATAGCTTCCTTTATTTGCAGCATCCTGAGGAGACGGCATTACTAAATATTCTATACGAATACAATTGTAGGCAAAAGGGTGGGAGAGGAAGGGGAGGTTTCCAAGTGAACTTCAATGAGAGGGAAGTGATTCAGGGCTGAGATGTGATGGGGTGATCAAATAGGGCAGTACAGCTTTGAGCAGAGAAAAGTCACAGGGAGAGGTGCTGAGGATACCATAGTGAAGGAGAATGAAGAAACTCAGGAATGAGTAGCTCAAGATGAAACAACCGTCTGGGAAGCACAGTTGTTCTGAGTGAACTCTAGAGAAGAATAAACAGGAAAAGTAGAATAAAGCACAAGTACTTTGAAGTGAAAACCAGAAAAATGTATCTTTGATGGAGGAGAAATGGGAAAGCCATGCTGACCAAGGTGATTTCAAGACAAGTGCCTACAAGGCCCAGCTGCATCCTTAAATTGGCTGACTCATGGGAATTGTCCCTTTTGCATTGAGTCTTTTACCTGCCTTTCCATCTGTTGGTGAATGTTTACCAGGCTTCTTCTATAATGCTTTTTATTTTTACCTAATACTCTATAGGTATCATCTTCCCATGCTCATAGTTTGGACATACTTTTTAACATTGTGGTTCAGTAAGTGAGATGGCAAGTTCTGAGCAGCTGTTGTGTTCTTCTCCTATGTTTTTTGCTCACTGACTGGACAAGCCCCTTAGACTTTTATCAGGTCTCTTACTGAAGGATTTTAAGGGGTCTAACTTGTTACCTTGTACTTGGGTCTGCCCCTTGCTTTGCTTCACCCTGTTAATTATTGCCACTTTTTAAAGGACTTGAAAGATTCCTTTGCAGGTTCTTAACATTAGCTCTCACAGAAACACCTCAGTTCAGTCTTCAACTGATAATATAAAAATTAATAACAAAACTATATCATAGGTGTGATGGAATTGTTGACTTTTTCCTCCCCAGGCATATTAAGGGAATTAGATAGTCTTCACTTTTAAGCAACAAGGATAAATCAAACTTAAAAGGGATATCAACTCTAGGGAAAAGTGATAGCCATGTGCTGATGTCCTTGGGTGAACTCTCCAACAATATTGTTTTTCATGGGCTGTCACTAGTAAGAAAAACTACTCTCATGTTAGGTCTGGAAAGTAATTTTTCCTTTAGTTGATCTTCCCTGCCCTCTTATTTGATCTTTTGCACATGAAACTGAAACAAAGCTCCTTCTTCCCCCCCCCCCACCCCAAGTATTTGAGGATGAGGGAGATATAAAAAGAAAACAATTTTATATAAAATATTTTTAATACATCATAGTCAGAATTCATTTAAATTCTACATTAAAGGTCCTATGCCTTTTAGGTTGCTCACTTTTACTCATTTATACCATGTTGAGGTTTTAGGATCCTGAAAGTTATTAATGTTAGTCTGCTAAATTTTATTCTGGTGATGCTGGAGAGAAATACAAGTTGTGTGGAGAGGGGGAGGGTTGGAGCAGGTGAATAATTTGAAATTTCTCCCAACCCAAATCCCCAAGAAAATACTGCCATAAAGGATTAATTTGGTGCTGAGATTTAGCTGTGGTTGCCATAAAGACTGAAAGAAAGGGAACAACAGGGCAGGCCTGTTTCTTACCACTAGTGACAACACCAACGATTTATTGTGGGAAATAGGCAGTTCTTTTTTTTTTTAAAAGCTTGTTAGCTGAATGTCTGAACTTTGATATTTTTTCCCTTGTGAAGGGTTTCACATAGACCCCCAGAAAAGTCACTTCTGAAAAATTGCAGTTACAGGCAGTTCTCCATGTTCTGTATTCAAAGGGGAGAGAAATGTAATAGAAAATCAATTTTAAACCTCCTGTCTCAACCAAAACTTTTAAAAATTCAATTTAATTCAATTCAACAAACATAAATTAAGTACCTAATGTATGAAAGTTATTGGGGTGGGTGCTGTGAATATGAAGAAAAATAAGTCTTTGCTGTTAAGGATTTTATATTCTTCTTGGATTTTTGAAATCTAAACTACTAAAAAAAATAGCAAACTATACTAATTCATAGGACAGTAATGACAATAATGCCTAATATTTATGTGGCAATTTAAGATTTGCAAAGTGTTTTATATATATACTCTCTGATACTCACAATAATCCTGTGAAGTAGATAGTTATTATTCCCATTTTCCAAAGGAGGAAACGGGCTCCTTCATTCATTCAGTAAACATTTATTAAGTGCTTACTATGTGCTAGGCACTGGGCTAAGTGCTGAGGATACAAAAAGAGGCAAAAAGATAGTCCCTTCCCTCAAGGAGCTTACAACCAAATGGCCCCATGTGGCTTGCTGGAGGTAAAACAGTCTTGTAAGTATATGAGGCAGGATTCAAACTCAGTTCTTCCTGACTGTAATGCCACCACTCCTCCTATTGTATCACCTAGCTGCTCAATATGATTCAGAGCATCAAGGAATCATTCCCCTCTTCTCTTCTCCTGCAATCCGTCTGATCTCTGGTAGGAGCATAAGTGAACAGTGAAAAGAGTCATCAGAGATATGAGGGAGAGAAGATGTGCTAGATAACTGACTAACTGTGATAAGCTTCACAATTAGGACGTGGCAAAAATCAGGTGAAATGGTAAAACTTGAATGAGATTCCCATGTGGTGTTTAGTGAAGTAACAATGGCTATCACTCTCTCTTGTTCAATCTTATAGTGGAGTATGACAAGGAGTTCTCCCCTCGCCAACGCCATCACAAGGAATTCAAGTTCAACTTATCCCAGATTCCTGAGGGAGAGGCTGTGACGGCTGCTGAGTTTCGAATCTACAAGGATTGTGTCATGGGGACCTTTAAAAACCAAACTTTTCTTATCAGCATTTATCAAGTCTTACAGGAGCACCAGCACAGGTATGAAGGTCCAGGGAGTCCCACAGGGTGGAGCTTGCCCCCATTCCCATCCTCTCACTCTATAGCTCTGAGTGTGTTTGTTGGAAGTGTAATTCTGTGCTCACGAGCAAAACATGAAGTCGTGCTATTTATTCAGACTGGCAGGGGAAAGGCAATTTGCTGGCAATTGGGTTTGTTGGAGCTGAGTGGGAGACATTCCAAACAGTGTCTTAATCCAACTGCCAGGCAGTTAACATTTACTAAGTGCACATCCTGAGAAGTACCGGGGGGTGACTGGGGCAGGGGGGAGGAATGGTGGTGTGTGAAATACACAAGAATCAGAACATGCAGTTTCCTACCTTGAAATCTAATGGGGGGGGGAGTGCACAAACACAAAAGCATGGGCATACGCACCAAGATGCTGTTAAAAACAAGTCCAAACTAATGTCATATAAATGATGTCATATAAGAACTAAATGTAATTCTTCCATGTTAAAACAATGTAGCAATCCAGAAAGCCATATAATCTAATACCCAAAATGCTGTTTACCTTCTTCCTATGTACTGGAGTGATGCCAGCCCCCTTTTGAAATCAGCGACTTTGAAATACAACTATATAATAATATGTATATTCTTTATTAGAGACTGGAAGAGAATTTGGAGTGATGGGAATAGTGTTTAGTGATTATTTGGGTCCTCTTTGTCTATCTCTCTATGTCTCTGTCTCTCTCTCTTTTTCTGCCTTTCTCTTTTTCTCTCTCTTGGTAAAGCTGCCTAAGTTCAAAGTATTGAAGTTCCTAATAAAAAATTATATGATGCAATATCAAATTTCACTACTCAAGAGGAAAGAAAACAACACAGCTGCTTAGAAGTATATTCTGGGGTCTATACCAGAAGATCTCTAACAAAACAGCCATAAAATGATTGGGAAGGTTGGAAGGGAGTCAAGGAAAAATATCCTGCTTGGATGCAATCATAAATTGTGTTTCTTAGGAAAAGAAAGCCTTTCATACATTTACATAGTAGGACAATATGTCAAGAGCACCATGTTTACATTTTCCCCAGCATTATGACTATTTACTTTGATGTATCCAGCCATGCAAACTGAGTATTTCACAGAATGTAGAGAAGAACAGTCTTTGCTTGGTTAGCTAATATGTTTCGGAAATTTGTCTTTAATATGTATCCCAAGCTAGGGTATGCTGAAGAGCAAGATGGTAAGTTTGTCAAAGAATCTTGGTCCTTGGATCTTCCTGAGTATTTAGTGGGTTGTTTGGTAGTTCAGGGAGGCACTTGGGTGCACTAACCCTGCTGTCCAGAGTAGAATGCACAAATAAGGAAACAAGGGTTTTGTAGCCTAACATCAGCATCACTGACATTGGTATAAAAGTGAAATAAATTCAGTCTAGTTGGGGGGGGGGCTATTTAGATACCTGCTAGGAATTTGCTGTGTTTTGTTTTATAAATACCGCCCCCCATTGTGGGGATGGTCATAGACACAGTCCAATTATTTTCAAAGTCCCTTTAGCATTCCCATACTGTCTATGGCTTAGACTTTCGTATGACTTTGTTTTTCTTTTTGTTTTTTTGCTTAGGCTGTCAGGGTTAAGTGACTTGCCCAGGGTCACACAGCTAGTTAAGTGTCAAGTGTCTGAGGCCAGATTTGAACTCAGGTCCTTCTAACTCCAGGGCTGGTGGTCTGTCCATTGAGCCACCTAGCTACCCCTTTCATATGACTTTGAAAATGGCTTTGTTTCCTGCTACAAATAATGACTCTGTGAATGAGTATAATAAACTAATTCACTAATGATTATGATGACAAAAATAATAATTCAGTTCAATTCAGCAAGCATCTATTAATGCATTCTATGTGTGTCAAGCATTATGCTAGGTTCTAAGAGTGGTATAAAACTTAAATAAGACATGGTTACTGCCCTTTTGGAGCCAATAGTTGAATAGGGAGATATGACACAAAGATAAGTATAATATAAAAAGCTTCAATACTTAAAGATTTATAATTTTATCAGTGTGGGTATTCCCTCCACTGATGTCTATCACAACTTCCTTTATATTCATAGTCTGTTTGAGACTTGTAGAGAAAAACAAAAACTCACCATATTTAGACAATCTAGTGATTGTGCTGCTCCAAATATAGATAGTGGACCATTGGGCAACAGAAATAAAGCTCTTCAATCACCAGGCTCATTGTCTAAGCCCTTTCTACTTCAGTAGGACCTGCTAGAGCTTGTACTCTGCTGGTATTAATGGTCTTTGAGAACCCAGAGTCATTGCCATATCATGATGAGGTATCAGAGTAGAACTTTAGTGGATGTAAAATAACACATTTAATGTTTTGCAAGAGGAGGTTGGATTCACCAAAATCAGGAAACCTCGGAACCAAGAACGCTAGCAAAAGTATCAGCCACTCTTTCTCTCTGAGGCTGCCTGCATGCTGAGACCTTTGGATTAGTATTCCCAAGCTGGTCCTTATACTGTGCCTGCAGAGCTGACTGTATCAATAGGAGAAGAAACAAGAGAGATAAGTGAAACCTCTTTAGATTAAAACCATATAGCTCTGGTGAGTTGTATTCTTAAGTAACTTTTCTTATGTGTCTTTGAGTTTCTTTATGTTGTATTGCACTTCTACTTGGAAAACTCTTTAGGATGTGCTACAAGCTGCCTGAAGCAGTAGGCACAGAGTGCACCAAAGGGCTTGGCTGTAAGTCTGTATCATAAGGTTGGTGATAGCTGTGTCCTTGACAGTGCCTTTTAAATTCTTCTCTGTTCTGAGTATTCTTGTGCCAGAAGTTGAGTGACCCTTGCATCCACGGTGTCTATATGTCCTCTCCAATTCCTCAACCTCAGGGGATCTGATGGAGGTTGTCCAGGGATAGCAAAAGCAGACACTAGCCTTTCTAAATCATTGTGAAATCGTTTGTAATGTCTAGCCCCAAAACATTTGCAGTAGACTCAATTAGGATACTCTACATTTTTGGAAAATTTCAGGGGAGGGGAATGGGAACTAGACTGGACAATTCCTTTTATAGAAGAGGGAGATGATGTTTGCTAAGAGATTGCCAGTGTTTAAATGTCAATTTCCTGATAATATTTGAAAACCCTCATAGGAAATGGAGTGCTTCTGCATACATTAGGTATACAGAGGAAAAGAGATGATTATGTATGTACATAAACAAATCCTACTAGTTGAGAGCTATTTCAGACTTGTAGAAGGTGCTCTCTATCTTAAATTACCTCAGAGGCACAATTGATATACTTATGCAACCAAGTGACAACATGGATTATACAAAAAGTTGAGGAGCTTGAAACCAAGAGAAGGGAATGCAGCAAAGAAGGCAAGAGAGCTACAAGCCCCAGCAACTGGCAGTGACAAAATCCCAGGGTTAATAATACTAGGCATGATATAGTTTGGGTTTAACCCAAACTATATGCCAGGTACAGTGCTATGTGCTAATGATAGAAATAAGAAAAATAAAGGTAGTCCCTACTGGAAAGTGGGGAAGGGGAGTACCCAGCAAGGGGGCATCTTGTTCCATGGAGTTCATACTAAGCAGAGTTGCAGATGGAAAGTGTAAAGTGAGCAGCAAATTCTAGATCCTGCCCTCTATAACAGTAAACTTTGAGAAGAGTTTAGTGCTCTACCTGCCAGCTCTCCAATCAGAAGGCAGAAGAGGCTGAGGGAGTTGGGGAAGTGTTGACTATCCAAGGCTGAGTTAAACATCATGAGGAGGAGATTTCAAGGTATGGAGACCCTGGTCATCTGGCCCAAAAGTATAAGTGATCCTATGGTCAGAATAGGATGAGGAGGCCTTTAAGAAGGCAGCAGAGGGCTGGATATAAGTTAGCAAAGGTGAGTTGGAGACTTTGGTTTCTCAATGTGAGACCAAACTGGGCTGCCCTGTTAGCTTGCTCAAGGAGGAAGCCACTCTATCCCAACTACTAATTGAGATCTGGGAAATGTACTTCTGCTGGATTGGCCATGTGGAAGAAGATCCATGAAGTGCCTCACAACTCCATCATTACAGTAGGACTTTAAAGTGTGTTGGGAGGAGATCTAAGATTTCAAGACCTAGATGAGATCTCAAGGTAGGTTAGAGCTGACCATCATCTTTGGGATCAACAGGTTAGACTGAGCATCTTTGAGTCTGAAGGTGAACCTTCAGGGAGTTAAGACCTTTAAGTTCAGGGCTTCATCCCAGATGAGAGACCAAGAGAAAAGAAGGTACAGAATATTTAAGCTTACCCTACTTAACTGGATCCTGATGGTTCAAAGGAAGTAATAGGAATGAGTGGAGTAGTCCTTAGCAAAAACCAGCCCTTTGAGAGACTGAAAAAAAGTTCCAACAAGATATAACTAGGTACTAAAGCTCTGAGTTGTATATAATGTAAGCTTTCAGTTGCTCTGAATAGTGGATAAAGGGGAAAAGTGCTAAAAATGAACAGCTTGTAGGAGATATATTATTATCTAATGTGCTGTATTCCAACAGAGAGGAGGCCCATACCTTTTCAGTGGGGCAGACCAGTTCTCTTTAGGTTCATTCTGGGAGGCCGGATGAGGCCACATACCCCCTCCAAGGATTAGGAACGAAAGATCTTCAAGGGGAGGATATTTTGTGATCATCATTAGGGTGGCAGTGCAGTTGAGCTGTGGGAATAGGAAGGCAGCAGTTGTTGCTGATAGTCATAAGGAGGACATTCTGAAGCACTCCTATAAAAAAGTAGGGGGAGCCCAGGCCATTGGGCTAGTATTATTATACCTCCATCTGTGGCTGCAGAGTCAATTATTTTGACAGTAAGGAGAATAAGAATGATAGGTGAAAGTTCCCTGTGACACAACAGCATAGCTTTGGAAAGTTTGTTGTTCCTCAGTGGCTTTGTCTGTAGGTCTGCATTAATAAGCCACTCTGTTGAATGTTTATCCAGTAAAGTTTTGTGCATCGAGTTGTGTGATAAGTTAAGGGACTGATGATGACAGGTCCTTGATGGTTGTGTCCTTGAAAGTT